TATTTCGACAGAGCAGAACAAAAAAATTTCAAGGCAGTTAAAACAAAGTATTTGTAAAGATATGGATTCAATTTTACGCGAAAACCTGCTGAAATATGACGTGAGGGAAGAGACTCTTGAGCTTCTACTTGCAGAGGAGGTAAATATCGAAGCTAATTGAGTTTTCTTCGTTTTTTTCGCGTTTTAGTTTTTCCCGCCACAGCCGAAAAGATATATATTTCGGACAAAAAATGAACCTGCATAGCGTTTAACTAATATAGAAAGGGTTTCCAATGGTCTTAAAATGAAATATTGTAGTATTTTTTCAATATATATTATTTTCTGATGGTTGTGAGACTATTTCATTAGGACATTATCTTTCATCTAGCAGAAGTCCTGGGGCCGGCTGTTCAAGGCTGGAATAGCGCTAACCCTGGGTTAAAAGTTAACCTGATGTTGTCCCTTCATTTCAAAACTTCAGAAAACTGAGAAAATTCTCGATGATCCTTACAAGATTTCTGAAGAAATATTTTAAGTTTATAAGTGCTGTTTGGGAAGTCGTATAAAAAAGCTTACTGGAAGTTTGCTTTGTACGAGTCTTAGGGCTGACTAGCCGGCATTTCAACCTACCGTGGTTGTCGTAGGTTTCAACTTCCTAGGACAGAGCAAGAATTACTGGACTGGGGGGGGGAGCAAAAAACGTGGTAGGCCAGGCTTCACTTATTTTTATAGAATGAATTTTCTCAGGGGTATAAAATTTTACCAGGGGGGAGACCAGGGGCCCTGGTCCCCGCCCTGGCTACGCATCTGGCTTAGTATTAGTTCTCCTACCAGACCAGTTAAAGTCCCAGTTCTCAGTAGAGAGTCCCAGTACTCAATTATAAGATTTTGAGAAAATAACTAGATACGAGCGGGCTCTGGAAGGATGATCGTTTCCAACCTCGTACCCAGGGTCTTTCCTTTTGGGAGAAAAGGTACGAGGTTGGATCATTTCAATATTTGGAATGCCGTATGTTGGAATGAATCTCGGTTAATTGTTTGGTTGATAGATATGAAATAGAATGGGAATAGAAATCCAGTCATAAGAATAGCAATAGAAACTGTGAAAAATGTCATTTACTCGTAACGTATTTCAATAGACCTTACCGATTACTCTCTTTTATCCAATTGCCTCGTTTCCATGTCAACTTATTTTAGCATGTCAGGGTCAGATAAAGATTATATTCCCATGTTTTTCCGGCCGTTACCCAACTAAACACAAAATACGAGTAAGTATTTGACACTAAAACGAGGCCATTGGGTGAAAAATGAATAAACGGTCTGTTGTGTCTATTCTTCAGGAGCCGGTTCTAAAGCAGGTTTCCGAATAGCTTGTTTATACACTTGGAAAATATATTTCTTCAGAAATATTGTCTGGATTAGCAGGAGTTTTCTTCTCTTACCTATGAAATAAACCGACGTCTGCACGTGATACATAAACTACTGTAAAACATGAACGTACAGCTTAAATTTTGACCAAGGGTCAAAAGCAGTTTTGAACAGGCCCCCTTGTATAATCTGACGTGTCAATTAGCCTTTCCTTTTTTTTACTTATAAGACCTTCATCCGTTTCCTAGGATTATACTCAGTACGTGCTATTTTAGGACCGACCATTAGAAAAGTGATGGGGAGGGGGGGGGGGGACTTTTCCAACTTAATTGTACGAATATTCTTCCAAATTTTTTGCTTGTGTCGATAATTTTTTAAAATATAATCCCTTGCTCGATTTTCTTTTATTTCAACTTATGATTTTCCCTATTGAAAAGTCTTTGCACGAATTAACTTTTTTGGTGCACGAATTTTTTTTCTTTCTGTACCCCTGCTCGATTTTTATTTTTGCTTTTCCCCCACCCCCATCACTTTTCTAATGGTCCGTCCCTTAAGAGGGTTGACATCTTTGTGCAAAGGTTCTATCTCGTAGAAGAAGTTCGCTTTTGCCTTTTTGTTGTGATTGTGAAACGACACTCTGTATCAAAACTTTTCGTGTTATTACAATCAGAAATGATCGAGCTTTACATTTGACTATGAGCATGACAATAGACCTTATGCATAATGACGTCACAAGGCTTGACGGCTGCGAGGAATGCTGGTCTTAGTAGTCATTGTCCGGGAAAATTTCAATAGTGGCCATTTCGAATTGTTTAATTTTCCCGGGCGATGACTATTAAGACCAGCATTCCTCGTGGGCGTCAAGCCTTGTGACGTCATTATGCATAAGATCTATAGGTCTATAGGTCTAGGAACTATTAAAAGTTTACCTTCGATTTTGTTGGCATCTCACTCGATTGAATAACAGTTGAAGGAATAGTTGAATATTCGTGTAGTGTAGTTGGAAATTATTATATACATTCCGTTAGACCAAGCGATTCCGGTGCAATTCGACTCGTCAGTTTGAGCTACGTCCATCGTAAATCAGCTCACAGCTTCAAGTAAAGTTGGATTTCCATTCAGTGCAAAATGTTGCGCGATCGACTTTTTGCGATCGCTTTCTTTTGAAAAACAAACATTCAAGCGGAATAAAACTCATTAGCTGTAGTTGACTGTACACATTTCAAAAGCAGCTAAGAGCTACAGTAAGCTTAATTACGATGGCAGCAGCTCATCCTGACCGGGTCAAGGGCACCTCTGCCAGCCTCTTTGTGACTCATGTCCAATCACGAAACAGAACCTACTCTGCTAACATTCCTTGTCGGAGGACTTTCAATATAGCCATCACGTCATCACCACTTTTTTCACGTAAGTGTCGTAAGTCCAATGTTAGGATCGAACCCACAATCTCACCGAAAGGCTTTTGCTCTGACAGTCTGGCATTTTACTCTTAGTCATAATCGAACTATGTGACATTAAAACCCAGAACTCTTTCACTCAGTAATTCTCGTAGTGGGGTAAGGTAGTGGTTAAAAGGAATTTAAACTCAGTGTTCCCTTTAGTTTAGAGTTAGTGCTCGTGTTAGCATTGGGGTTAGCTTATAAGGGGTTAGCATATAAGGTTGCTTCCCTCGCATCCAATCCCCTTTAGCAAAGACCCTAAAGGTACTTAGTCGTACACATGCATATACTCGTACGTCTCCATGCAGTCGTCTCTATTTTAGTCTAAGTAGATCATGTTACCAATTACATGATGATGATAATCATATCCATCCAACTGGGGTACCTGGAAGGTAGGGATTGCTGCGGGCATTAGGAGCAAATGCAACTAAATAGTATAAACTATATAAAGCACAGTTATCACTCGCAGCGAACGACTGGTTAGCACTGTGGTCGGAGCTTAAAGGCGATTTTCCAGTCCTCGCACGAAGCTCCTCGCAGCTCCCTGCGAGTGCTTGCATCTAATTAAAATGAACTGTTTAGCATTGTGATTGGATGAAAGTGCTCATGCATCACTCGCAGCGAGCTGCGAGGAGCTTCGTGCGAGGACTGGAAAACCGCCTTCTTAAGGATACAGAATCGATTCATGCTATCATTGCCAAGACCAGGGGTCAAAGGGCAATCACAAGTGTCGGATTTCATATTCAGTCTAATACTGCTATTAAAGGCGCATTTATCACACATTTTATACAGATGACGTATTAAAATAAGAAACCAAAACTTTATAATAATATAGAACTCACAGTGGTCAGTGGCCAAAGTCCATTGGGCTAAATAAAATTTACTTCAAAAGCCCCTCTCTGCACAAATCGCTCGCTTGGTTCAGGCTCGCTCGCTAGCATTTACTCGTAATTATAAAGTCTAAAGCTCTCCAATCTATAAGATGTAGGTAGTTTCACTCACAATAACCATTTCAATAATTTATTTTTAGTTGGATACTGTAGAAATGTTACAGGCCATAAGTGATGAGCTATTAAAGGCCTGTGGCATAAAATTAGGCCAAATTATGCTTATCAGAAAAGCATGCAACCCTGGATTCGCAAGTCAAGAGCATCAATCATGTCCGGATCCACCTCCACAAGGTGAAGAAGTCTATGTTGTAGATGCAACAGACATTTCAGAATTGCCAGTGACATTCAATGTGGTCGAGACAATATCAACGACGAAAACTCCCATCCCGGATGTCAAACCAGTTTTTAAATCAGAGATGGCGACACCTGATGAGAAGTGGCTCAGTTCCTTCCGGTTACCTACAAAGGTATAAGACATATAGTGTGATCATTAATATATCTACAATTAATAATTGATGAGAAAATTAGAAACACATTACTTTATGATTTTTTGTGTTGGTATTTATCAGTGTTGTAACGAGTCACCTACAGGTCGAGTCACGAGTCGAGTCATTTCAGTTTCTGATCTGATTATATATTATTGCATAAATATAAAAAATGAAAATAGCCGGTCAGAATTAGTATAAATACAAAAAATTTTGAGACTCTATTTTAAAAACTGTACGTGGCACTAGCGTTGTTTCTAAAAACAGAAATGTAATATAGGCATGCCCGTCAGGAATATACTGTAAATCCCATATATTTTCTGATAAAGTTTCGAAGTTATCATTGTTCACAGGTTGACAGTTCTGCTCATTGTTCTTCCCAAGCAATTCAATTTTCGAGTCATTTGGGGCTGTTGACTCGAGTCGAGTTGAGTCATTTTTTGTTTTGGACTCGAGTCGAGTCGCTGAAAATAGCGACTCGAGTCCAAGTCAATGACTCGACTCGTTACAACACTCAGTCTGGTATTTATTTTGGTTGCATGATGACAATGGATACTATTGAAATTGATACTATTGATCCATTGATCCTTGGCCTCGCACGGAATGTTATTGAGCGGATATCCCAATGAGCGGATATCTTTTTTTCTTTTGATGAGTTATGAATGAGTTATGAACGAATCGATAAGTTATGAATGTTCAGAAGACGAAAAACGAGACTCTCGATGGAAACAATCATGAAAACGAGGTTTAATAGCCAAATGTGTCGTAGTGTCTGAATTTTTGTTATCACTCGAAAACACCTGATTTCTCTGCATGCCAGCACAAATCCAGAATCCGAAACGAAATTATCAAAATCACAATTTATAAAGTTTCGAAAAGTTTTACCTTAAGTTTATAACCTTTTGGCAAAACTTAAACATTCATTTTGCCGTGGTTTTCAAATAAATCTTTTACAGAACATTGGGGAAAAATTTGAAAATCCATAGAATGGAAATTTTTCCCAGTGGAAATAGAATTACGTTTGCAAATAATCTGTATGTCTTTCGTTTCGACTTTTAGTTCTCTCCAGGGGTAACTGCAGCCCTTGAGAACAAGTCTTTAACAGGCAATACAAGAGACAAATTCAATAGAGACGTCTGTAACAGCATCAAAGTCCATACCATGAATCCGAAGAAACACGAAAGGGACTTTGTGGCATTTCGTATCATAACGGAATATCCGTTTTTGGCCGACAAGATTGGTTGTGGAACGGTAGGTGGTAATATTGTATGTTAACATGTTTTTGTACGCAGACGTCACAGTGTAGAAATTGTTTTGGTTCACGAAACGCTGAGGTGGGCTCAAAATCAATCAGAAAATACAACCTGTTTCATCCAAGAAGAATTATCAGGGGTTTTCTGATGATTCCTCTTGGATGATACTGTACATGCAAAATTATATTCATTTTTAAAAATGTAACACACCTATCATTTCCATTCTTTAGGCATCGTGGGAGCAATCTATAAAAAATCGCTTCAAAAACCAGCGAAAGCTAAAAAGAAAAGCCAATCCACAATCAATCGAAATCGCTCCTCCCACTAAACAGACTGCAAGTGAAGAAGAGGCAATTTCCGGGGAGACAGGCGAAACATGCCAGGAGCATCTCAATGCCTTAAAAAAGGAAATGGCCAAAACCAAGAACAAAAATTTCTTTCTTATTAAAGAGCTGATGGTAGCAACTTTTGAAGCAAGAAGGAAACACATTACGACAAGTCCAACAACACTACATGTCCTTCTGTTGGACTATCCAGGACTGAGGCTAGTTTCAGAGGTATAGTCAAAAGTAAAATTAATATTAATAACAAATCCAAAAAGTTGATTGGTCAAATTTGAGGTACTTAGCACTGTTATATTCACTTACAGGTGAACATTTAATTCACTTACAGGAGAACATTTCACATTCACTTGCAGGTTAATTAACCGGAATTTGCAAAATGGCAGATATAGCAGTTTTGTGGAAGTTATTGATAAAAGAAATAAGTGAAATTAAAATAAATTAATCAATCCCAAAAAACACAAAAGACTTGTGAAAAAATACTACTTAAACAATTTTTTGCCTCAGACTCAATCAGGGAATTATTTACTTAGAATTTATCAACATCATTTATGCTGAAATTTGCTGTGTTGGTGTAATGTACTCAGGTGAATAAGATGCTTGTGTGATGTTACTCTGAGTGAATATCCACACCGGACAGGCTTGAAAAATATGCCTGGCCACGGTGGGATTCGAACCTACGACCTTTGGAAAGGTCCTTTCGAACCTTTGGAAAGGTCCTTTCCAAAGGTCGTAGGTTCGAATCCCACCGTGGCCAGGCATATTTTTCAAGCCTGTCCGGTGTGGATATTCAATCAGAGTAACATCACACAAGCATCATTTATGCTTTCAAAATGTGAGTATGAACATGATGCTTGGGATCTGTATGCTCAGCAATTACATACCAAGATAAGTATGCACAATCCGGGCCAGTATAAGAATAACCGGTAAAACAGTTAAATATATAAACATTTGATCACAACATACCTGTACATATATTGTCGTATTTCAACATTTAGCTCAAATCAGAATTCGAAAGAATAATTGGTTTGACTGGGACCTGCAGAAAGATGATGGAAATATACAGGCATTACGCTCAAGCAAAAATACTTGGTCTTGCCCAATCCAAAGCAAAAAAGTCACCAGCAATCATGTAGATTCTGCATGAAATGGACGAATGTATCAAAGAAGACACAGAGAAGAAGTCGGGTACAGTACAACTTTTTGAAAGGAACGAATTCCTGGTGGCATGAAATAAAGGATCCCCAGCTTGTAAAAGCACCAAGCCTACCCATTCAATACAGTACCATTCAAAGTGGCAAAGGAGCTATGTAAGAATATACAAAAATAGGGGATAATTTTTGAGATGGGAGGAGCCCAAAAGAGCTACACCTGTGGTATAAAATAGTTAATACTATATATTGTACATTATAACTGTAACAATAATTTTATTATATTTTACCTTCTCTTTAGATATTGAAGAGGATGGTTCAGTAATACTTTTGCAAATGCTGCTCAAAGAAAAGTCAACAAATGTTGAGGCAATTATTAAACTCTGCTCGGTATGTTTTGATATATAATTATATTACAGTTTATCACTCTATGAATATATCTTAATCTTTCAGATGGAAAATGAGGTTATCATTCCATGTTTCGCACACCAATATAGGTTAGGGTTAGGGTTAGGTATTAGGGTTAGGGGTTAGGTTTAAGGTTGGGGTTAGGGTGTGTATATATGTGTATGGAGGTATCTAATGAACTTTTCAATACACTATAATATCCATTACATAACGTTTACTATATTGGTGCGCGAAACATGGAACGATTACCGAAAATGACCTGTGTTGTTTATAATTGAGACATGAAAATTTATGATCATGAATCCATAAACAATCAAAGGATGGGTATTGAAGTCTAGTAAACAACTAACCTTCTTATCTTTATCTTAGGACAACGAATCAATTGATGACTTCATTCAAAATACAATTGCACCGATGTTAATTGGTGCTGGGCAGTTAGGAAGCATCACACCTTTATACCTGGCGTCGGAAGGAGAAATCATAATCAAGTTTTCAAACACAAACCTTATAAATGCAGTGGTGGTTCTAATTCTATATTGAATATATATACTATTCAATTATTGAATATATATATTATATACATTATATTATAACTTAATTAATTGACCTCTTTATCACTGTCCAATGCTAGAGGGTTTTGTATCAGACTGCAGAGTTGGGAAAAAATCGAAGAAAATCGAAGTGCAGGTGCGCAAAATAGTTCCCAAGTGCGCATCAAGATGCAGTCAAGGGCACAAAAGTAGCAAGATACATGTTAAAAACAATGAAAATGACAGGTTAGAGGGCAGATTAAATTGCAAAAATTGTTATAAAATACATCACAAGCGCGCTGAAATTTCTGCCTAAAAAATATCGAGTGCAATGTTGACAAACTCTGCAGTCTGGGACTTTGTAGATAAAAATATTGATCATATACTTTATGGTTAGCAATATTTTCCATCCAGCAAACCACCCTATCAAATTTTTAAAGTCGTTTTTTATTAAGTCGATCGGTTAGGGTTAGGGTTGCCGTTAGGGTAAGGGGGTAGGGTTTGGGTTAGTTACATAGATCTTTAACACCTCTTCCATCTTCTGAAATTGACTTCAGGTCAGTTTGCTGGATGGAAAATAGTGCTAACCATATTTTATACCTCAATATTCGATCATTAGATCGATAATCCACCTACATATTCATGTTGGCACAAATAACTTTCAATTGACATTATTATCCACCCCACCCCAGATAAAGTTGTTCAAATATACTCAGTCGTACATTACAAAAGCTGTACTGTGATAGTTAGTGACTCATGGATAGTAATTGTCAAATTGTCATGAGATAATGTCGACATAAAACCCACCCACTCATACAATTAATTCAACATTATAGGCCAAAAATAGTCCCAATAAATAGTCTGCCTACAGTGGACTGACTTGAAAATGCGTCAAACGTAATTTACCTATGACGGTAAATATCCTGATACTTATTCATTTTTAATTTTACCTGTTAACGCAAGGGATCTATATAAATATACTTATTACCTGCTTTTTTATGATATGGTATGCTGAATGTGTCCCTGCATGGATTGGAACAGGAATTTTCCTTCGAAGGAACTTAAAATATTTCGATTTCAATGGCTATGTTGCAGCCTTTCAATGTGCTGCAGACTGCAGTATACACGCATGCATGTGCATTCATGGATTGCGTGATAAACTTAGGATAGAAGTCGATCACAATTTTGTCGTTGCTATGCAACCGCCACAAATTTGGACATGGCGTCGATTGTTTTATACTTGTACTTATATCTTGGCGTGGAGCTAGCTGTGTTTATAAAAGATAAATCTTTCCTAGGACATTTTGCCAGGTAACGTTCTTTAAACTATTAATAATTCAGTACTGTAACCCCTATATTGGAGTTAAAATGATTTAACTCCATAATAGGAGTTAGATTTTAAGTCCAATATGGGAGTTAAATCAACCCCAAAATTGGAGTTATATTTTAACCCCAGAAATGGAGTTATTTGTAACCCCAAAAAACGGATTATTTTGAACCTTTTTTGCTAACCCCCTTTTCCGGAGTTATTTTAACTCCCTGAAAATAACAGTGAATATAGGTAAAAAATATGTAATAAATAGATGAAATCAGTTTCAACAAAGTTTAAAATAGTCAATAAATAGTTCAAAAATAGTGATAAATATAGTTTAAAAATAGATAATAAATAGTTAAAATACACCCCAGCTTGTTAAAAATAGATAATAAATAGTGGATATAATATTGTCCAAATAGATTAAAAATAGTTAAAAAATAGTAATAACGTATTAAATAAATAGTTAAAATATGTTCCATTAATACAGTTAAAATAGTTATTAAATAGTGTATACAAAATACATATAGCCTTTAAATAGTTTTAAAATATATTATAAATAGTCAAAACATAGATAATAAAAAGTTAAAACATATAGTATAAATAGTCTTTAAATAAAATATAATTAGTAAAAGAAATTGAAAACAAGTGTAGAAGTGCTGAAACATCAGAGGCTATTACAGACCTACTTCAAATGCCAGACAATTTTACTTGACAGTGGGTAGAGGTCTGCCAATAAATGAGTTAAAAATCTGTAGTCTTTTAGCAAGATATTCAATATAGTAGACATAGTTAGCAGTCTTTATAGTAGCCAAAGAGTTATAAAGTATATACACTCTCTCCTCCGCAGAGGCTTTAATTGGCTATGAAGGCGCGAAGCCTCTGCACGATGCCACACCCAATATGGCGGTAAACCGGGGGGCGTATAATTATCAAACGCAAAATTCAAGTCAAAATGACTGAGAAAATATCTCTTTACAATACTGCAACAAGCTGACAAAGAGATTATTTACTAGATCTACGAAATAAGAAAGTGTTATGTTCAGTTTGCGAGAAAACACCTGCATTTTTTCTAGACAAGGTCTCCATCTACAGTATAAAACAATGCACGGAAACAACGTATTTAGGGAACAGGTTTTGGTTGCAAGCGAAGAAACTTTTATTTAAATTTATATTTGACATTTGTATTTTCAGAAATGTGTCTAAAACCGCATAAAAGAAAAAAATGAGTATGTATAGCATACAGAACCATTATTAAATTTATTATCAAGACTGAAAATACAATTTCAACTTCAGCAATATTTATAAGCAAACGCGACCTTCAGTCGGTTTCGACCTGATTTATTTGGAGGTTCGTATCTTTGGTTCAATATACGCTATGTAGATGAAAATACCACCGTTTCAGTACAAAAATATCTCGTAGTTTCTATCGATAGTTTTAGTGAAATGTCAACACTATAGCGATTTATGACCTTTGAAAGTCAAGCGGGATTTTGTATATTAATATCAAATCACGCAATGTTTACACTTGATAAATATAAACTAGGCATACCTTTCGGCGAACATAACTTCGGCTCCTTGGGACGCATCCTCTTTGTATTACTCTTGTTCGAAAGCGAATTCAAAACGGCACTACTTAGAGTATTATTGTTGAGCTTGTATCTTAAAACTTCATCTTTTATTATGGTATTTCCATTCCTGCTCTGATTGTGAACTAATTCCCGAACATCAGCGTTTGACAGGCGCGTGCGACTGTGCGAGTAAAAACCCGTTATTTTGAAAAATTAAAAATAAATATTTCTACTGGCCGTATTCAAAAGAAATTTTCTACACGAAAGCGTTTGAATACAAGGAGTATTTTACTTCTTTGACTGGTGGCGAATTCCGAAGAGTTCAAGAAATATTCAAGTTTTTCTCGATACGAAATACAGAATGTTTGACCAAGTGGTGAGTAAAATATACGATTGTTTGCTTTGTGTATTAAATGTTAAAAAATATTACTTTTGACCATCCACAAACATGCAAGCACTAGTCAATGAGGTCAATCAATCATGCATTAAATAATGTTTAATTTTCAAAAAGACGTTTCTTGTTTAGCTTAAAAATCACCTTTTGTTTCGATGTTTACACTTTGTCCCACTTTGCGATGCAAATCGTGCAGAGGCTTCGCGCCTTCCTTCGCCTTTCGCTTTGCCGCCTGCGCTCCTTCGCCCAGCGGCTACGCTCATGTTCCACGATCCGCCATGTAAAGTGTAGTGAAATGTATCTCATCGTAATATTAAATCCTAAGAAAACTAAAGCCTCTGCGGAGGAGAGGTATATACATACAGTAACTTGGCTGGGGACTGGGCAGAAAAAAAGCAAGAACATCATGTAACATGAATAGGGTGAAGCTCAGCAGCAGTTAGGTTCAGGCCTTCTTTACAGGTCAGAAAATTTTTTTTTATATATTTGAATAATACCCTGAATTTAGCTGGATATTTTTCAACTATCCAACATATATCCTGTATGCAGCTGGATAGCAAAAACATTCTATCCTGCACACCCCTACAACGAACTTCAAGTAGGTAACATAAGAGGAAATTGCTCCTTTATGGGTGTTAATGAGTGAGATATGGACCATGAAATGTCAGAGTTAAATAATAATATCAAAGTACTTAAGTAGGAAGTGTTAGGGAAATTGCATCTAATTGATCTAAATATGTCAACATGAAACATGAACAGAGTCTAGCACTCTAGCTAGACACTTCCCTTGACAAATAAAATTGTCCGGTATTAGGCAAGATAACATTTAATAACAAAGTGCTGAAAATTGGGCTCATTGGAGTGAAATGGGTAATTCCAAAAACAATAAAACCCTTGCCGGGGTGTCTCTAAAATATATAAATTGTAGCCCAAAGGTTGTTACAATTATATTATTAAGCAGATCATGCATACCTGCGGTGTAACTAAATGTATTCATAAGTTTGAACAAGTAAAGTAAGGACTTTAACTGTTTCCAGTTAGGGACACGTCTATAATCAAGTTGCCACTCATGACAACAACTCTAAACTGAGTCACCCACCTATATATGAATAAATATTAGAAACTTATGAAAGTACCAGTTGATTTGAAACCAGTCGATAAATTTTCTCCAACCATGTTTAGCTGGGACATGCCTGAATAGGCATATGAGAATTGAGTAGATGCCAAGCTATATTTATATTTTATACAAGAAACAATAATCTGGCAATCTGTCATATACACTATACACAAAGGTCAAAGTATACTATCTGGCATCACAATAAACATCATTTAATATAAAGGCTGAGTCAAACGTAAGCCTTTCTATAAAATGCATCGTTTTAATTCAAATATTGTCGCAGCAAATTGAAATTTTAAGCCGCAACACCGAACACATGCTCAAAATTCACGAATGAAGATAGTGAATATTTCCTTTCAAAATTGCTCTATTTATATATAAAACATAACAAAATTCTTACCTGGATGTTACCCAGTCATCCCTGACGTTTAGTCTTCGTTAAAAGACATCCTCTTCGGTAATAATTAAATAAAAGCTCTGTATTTCGAGCCCAAAATTCAAAACAAAATTTTTTTTAAATATGGCGGTTGTGAATTGTGAAGCTATCCCAGGAAGCTTTGCGCGTGTTGTAGGAGAACTAGGCACCAGTCCAGAGGAGGTTGGAAGCCCTTCCCGGCATGCATTGTAACTCATTCATATTATCGATTTCCCGGGACGCGCCGTCATTGTTCGACTGGCTCTCGTTGTGTTTACTACTCAATTTCAACCCAGTCTCTACCTGAAATTGAGTGTATGACTTAATTGTTATGTGTCAGGCAAATTGAGTATGACACTCAATTTCAAGGCGCCTTTAGACAGACCAGGCCAGGTTACCTAATTCTTGTTCAGGCCAGGTTACCTAATGCCTAAACAGCCTGATCCTTGTTCGCACTTCGCAAGCTAGTATGAGTATGAAAGAAATTTTATTGTTGAAATATTTCTAAAAAACCTGCTGGAAAACGTAAGAAAACAGACAATGAAAGCTTGTCTTCAATTATAAATGAGATAAACGCGATCACAAGTACAGAATGCTCAAAAAGTAGAAAAACTAGACCCAGTCGTCCAGCCAAAAGTAAAGCTACCGATATTGAAATTCAAAGAGATGAAACTGCTCAAAGAATATTTCATAGTCGAAGACTGTTGTCTCAATCCAGTTGGATAAGAGGTACAATTGAAATTCCCAGAGTTATTTTTTGTAGAGGTTTTGAATTTAGTTATGGTATTTTACATACTTTCAGACAAGAATGCAAATAAAGAGCTAGTTCACCCAGAGTTTCAAGATGAAAATCCAAGGCGAGGTGAGGAAACCTTTCACTGTTTATTTGTTATATAAATTCATGTTTAAATATCTTTTCTAACTGTTTGTGTTTTTTCTCTTGAGTGCAATCAAAAGCATTGGATATGCCAATAGATCAATTGGATGATACCTTTATAAATTAATGTTTTAATTCTACTGAGCAAGGTACTATTAAATATATAGTATGTGTTAGTATGTGAACAGGTTTGAAATTATTAGTTGTGCTATTGGGTTATTCCAGAAATGATCCACACTTCTGGCTGTATGGAGGGGGATGGGACAAAGTCTACGTCTGATAATAGTGGAAGTACTAGGACATCCGATGAGGGCAGGGGGTTGACTTCCAGGGTGCATTCCATGTATGTAAACTTTATGTCTAGGTTAGAAAATTGTTAGTGATGTTATTGGGTTATTCCAGAAATGATCCACACTTCTGGCTGTATAGAGGGGGATGGGACAAAGTCTACATCTGATTTATAATAGTGGAAGTACTAGGACATCCGATGAGGGCAGGGGGTTGACTTCCAGGGTGCATTCCATGTATGAAAACTCTGTCGGATTTACGCCAACATTTATGATAAAAATTGGAGATTATAACTTTGGGGGACCAAAATCCATGTTATTTACTGTTAACATTATATTCTTGAAGTTATACAGCTGTGAATATACACACATTTACGTATGGCATTGAATTTCAGGCACAAAGTTAGTTACACTTATATCACTTCATTTCTCACACCACGCCGGATATATCTGGCATGGAATGCACTCTTTCAATTTCCTTAATTGTTGCTGGAACTGAGGATGTTTTCTAGAATTACTCATTGTACCATACTTACATTTAAATTTTCTAGATCTTGAAGCAATTATTGAAGAATGCCAAGATGTTGTTGGTCAAACAGAGAATAGTCCCAGTGCATGGCAAAAAAGAATGACAAATCTTGATGAAAACTGGCAAAATGTTAGAGAGACAATTTTTGAAAGTGCTGTATGTTCTTTTGCTCCACCCTCTTCCTCAATACCATGTTGCAAGTGTGGCACTAGTGAAGCTATGTTAAGATGTTGTGAGTGTGGCATCAATCGATTCCTTTGTGTAAATTGTGATGATGAAGTGCATCTGTCCCTGCCTTTTCATAACCGTGAAGTCTGGTTTAATGGATATTTTCAACATATCCTTCCAACTGAGACAATATCAGAAGAGAAAAAAATTATTCATGTTGGTATGTGTTATTACAGTATATAATGTCAAAGAATATGCGATAAATCAAAATTTCAAACCCTTGTTTTTCATTAGACAATGCTTGATCAATAGTACAAGAATTTAGCATATATATGTGTAATTAAGACTACTTTTGGTTCAAAAATATGCATACTGTGTGTCCATACATGGTACAGTGTTTCTTAAAACTTCAATAAAACAGATAATTATCTTGTAAATGGTAAAATTTCCTAAAAACATTGTTGAATACTGTATTGCTGAGTATCAACAGAAATCATACTTGAGTGTAATTTGTAAATTGATTTAAATTACCAAACCTCTGTATACTACACAATTATTTTTTCTAGATTGTTCATGCCCTCTTCTTTATCCAAAGTCTTGTTCGAATTGCAACGAGCCAACTGTCAAAAGAATAGAAAGTTGTTCTATGGTTGTTTTCATTACATGTGAAGGTAATATTTGATTTATGTTACATGAAAATACACTGCAATGCATTCTATTTTTGTTTCTGTTGTTTTTGCAGACAATATCTGAAATTAAATGTGTAGAAGTACAGTGTACACTGTACAGTATATGTATATATATATATATATATATATATATATATATATATATATATATATATATATATATATATATATATATATATATATATATATACCGGGTGGCGCAAAAAAAAGTACAACTGTTTGATTACTTGTAACTCAGAAACAATAAGCAGTAGAACCATAAATCGATTTTAATTGCATCCAGCGCTATCTAACTTAAATTTTGGTATATTTGACAGGCATATTCGTCCAAGATTAACTGAGATATAAGAGTTTAAACTTTTGTTAACAATTTTGAAACGGTCACAAATTAGCTAAAAATCAGTTTAATAGGCCGTTTTTAGCTAATTTGTGACCGTTTCAAATTTGCTAACAAAAGTTTAAACACTCATATCTCAGTCAATCTTGGACGAAAATGCCTGTCGAATATACCAAAATTTAAGTTAGACATCGCTGGATGCAATAAAACTCGATTTTGGGTTCTACTGCTTATGGTCTTTGAGCTATATGTAATCAAACAGTTATACTTTTTTTTGCGCCACCCGGTATATATATATATAGATATACTATATATATATATATATATATATATATATATATATATATATATATATATATATATATATATATATATATATATATATATATATATATATTTATTATATATCAATAGTCAAAGTCGCATTTTTCTCGTGTTTTATTGGTTGAGAGCAAATCACGTGAGAGTGACGAAATTAGGCTGTCTCCCTCGCAAGGAGACAGCCTAAGAGGGAGATAATACGTTATCGACCGGCGAATAACAAAAAAGATCACGTGCGCCATCACGTGAAGATGCGACCTTTGGACATGCCTAGTACGTAATTACAACTTTCGCTTTAAGTAACTGCAGTATAGCCAGTGTTTAATATAACGTTTTAACAATAAAATATTTCATGTATTTACGTTCATTTGTTCTTTAATTTGTTGTTTCTTTGACTATTGATATATAATAAAACACTTATTTACTGAGATCTCGGGAAAGCAGTGTGTTTTGTGCACCCTCGACCGTCGATGTTTCCCTCGGCTTCGCCTCGGGAAACATCGACGGTCTCGGGTCCACAAAACACACTGTTTCCCTCGGTCTCAGTAAATAAGTGATAAATATATTGGAATGTGCATGATATTCAACTATATAAAAACATTAAAAAAATTTTTGTTCAAATTTTTGTTTTAATGTTTTTATATAGTTGAATATCACATTCCAAAATATAATTCGCTCCACAATTTCTGTGTTGAGCACTCTAGCATAGTGGGCTACAGTCTCAGCTTTTCCTGTTCACTAAAACATAAAACTTACCTACGGTGGTTAACATATATAAAAATTATAAATGCCATATCGTGATGATTAACATATATACGGCTGAAGAAGACATGCTACTGTCGAAATGGTATACAAATTCGGCATGGCATTGGTGAGTGGCCATGTGGGTGTCCAGGAATGGTTGTGACTGGTTGGGTTCGAATATACCATCGGGCTGATAGCTGATAGATGGGCTTGTAACCCAGAGGTCACCGGTTCGAATCCGACTCAGTCTCAGCTTTTCCTGTTCACTAAAAAATACTTACCTGCGGTGATTAACATATATATATATATATATATATATATATATATATATATATATATATATATATATATATATATATAATTTCATAAAGTAATTTCCCGTTTTTAAGAATAAAGAGTGCTCAATACAAGACAATTGTAGAGCATATAATAATAATTTAATATTTTAATACAATTTTTCAATTGAAAAATTGTATTAAAATATTAAATTATTATATATATATATATATATATATATATATATATATATATATATATATATATATATATATATATATATATATATATATATATATCTCTCTCTCTCTATATATATATATATATATATATATATATATATATATATATATATATATATATATATATATATATATATATATATATATATATATATATATATATATATATATATATATATATATATATATATATATATATATATATATATGTTTCGGAAATTGATTATTTTGCAATTAAAAGTGATATTTTGGGGTGAAAATATTTCAGTTTTAAAACTATTCTTAATAAAATCATCGTGTTACCGTGACAAATACTTTCAATACTTCATGTTCGAAAAACATAATGGTTTTGTCAGTAAGGCAAGGGTTCCTGTATGCAAGTAAATATAAATTAGATCTACTGCAATGGCTGCAATTCATTGTGACATTCCATCTTCGTACTCGAGTTAGTAGCTTCGCCCCGGGTAGGAATTATACAATATATCTGGGAAAATGCATTCTGTGTTTTGCATTATAGTTATGTTGCAATACTACATACTACAGGAAGCTTTTTCATCTAACATGGAAGATGAAAGTACTACCTACAATGTCACCATTTGGTTTTATATAATAACGTTCAGAATTCAAACGCTTTCATTGGTCGAGAGCCGTGATCTATCAGAGGACAGATGCACGGAAGTACATATGTCACAATTAAGGTATCCAATAGCATTCCCTTATTTGTATGGATCATGTACGCATAATATTCCACTTTTTCAAATTTCTAAATGTTTGGGTGGATCAAAAGTAAGCTATATGTGTTTAATTCAGGGTTTTTCTTTTTATTACATAAAACAAATAGATAAGATTTTGCCGTTGTTCTGTTCTGTTATAAATACAGAGCCACTTTTCTGTTCTTCCCACATTATGACGTGATATTATATATCTAACTGAGCAGTCAACGTCTTATCTATTTGTTAACTAGAAGTAGTTATATAGTCACAACAATTATATCGATATAGGCATGAATTGCAGTTATACTAAGCATCCAAGCACTTTTGATGTTCCGATGTAAATGACAAAATGGTTTCTTGTAGCTCTTTTATTAGGTTCGATGAATGAAAAAGTCGGCATTTTAAGCAGGCTTAATGAAGAAAAATTGTCCATAAAATACATAATTATTAACCTTAGTATAATTTATGAAGACAATCAAGCTTGTCAAAATCTTGCCGAAAACGACTTTACTATCTTTATTCCCTCGCGACGAAGAATTAAATTTCTCCAGAAAAATATCACACAGTTAAATGTGGAGTTCATAGATAGAAATGTGATAGACCATATGTTAAATGATAAAACTTGTCTGTCGTGGAAAGGCCTGTTTGATGTCAAGCGGAAACTAGAATATACAATTTGCGGAAAAGAGCAAATGAAGAATGAGATGACTGCCAAGGAGCAAGTCGCAATCTTTCTAAAATTTATCTTGTGTCTTTTTAATTCTCCGTAATTTAACGTTTCTGCTGTCGGAACAACTCTTTCGACTCTCCGCTTTGACTTGGTAATCATAAACATTTTGTAATTTAAGTAACTGAAGAGGATTAACAAAATACATGGATAAATCATTGTTAAAACATTTGCAAATAGTTTCGGGTTTAGGAAGGACATTACTATCTGACCGCACAGTAAAACTGCCATGAATCCAAGAAGGAACAGAAGCCTTTCCTTAGTGACTGAGTTTCGATGGAAGATTGGATGTGTTAGTGCGAAGAATCTTTCGATATTCAGTGTTAATAGAGCAAGCATTGAGAAACCATGGAGTAACACGCATATGAATAGCCTTGTATGTTCATGGAGTTCATTATATTCTTCCAAACACAAGGAAATTGCTGATACTATCTGGACAGGATGAACAATGACGACTCCAACAAGGTCGATACAAGATAAAACAAGAATAATAAAATAGCATGGTTTCTTTCGAAGTTGTGGCGACTTCCACAGACTGATGATAACCACAGAATTCAAAAATGTTCCTACAATCATGAAAGTAATGTTTACAAAACACAGAAATAGCGCGTTTATGAAAAGGCTAAGCTTCATATTAACAGATATTTTAGCGATGCAATGCTATTTTCTTCGTCAACTTATCTTTATCGCACCGTTAAACTAAATATTCACAGAATGATGCACCTGTGCATCGATTTAAAACAATGAACTTGTTTTTCATTTTGAAGCACAAATTATTACGACAAGATGGAAAACAAAGCGAAGCCGAACTGTTAATAAAACCTAAATTAAACTTGTCTGGCATGTCCCCGCTTCTAACAAACGTGAACTTTTTTAAGATGCAATTTTTTTCAATGTCACATATTTGCGATGAAATGTGTTCAAAACCTAAAAACTTTTTGGCGTTCCGTATATAGAGCTGGTTACCTTTTTAAGTGCATCTGCCGATTGGGAAACGTAAAATAATAGTTAAAAATCGGCAATTAAAATACAATTATCAATGATGCTTTAAAAGTGACGCCATATTTATACAGCAATATATATTAAGCAAAACTTACGGAACTTTAGACATCATTTTCTCTTTGGCGTATCATCTAAAATCTCTTCATTTTCGCATTATTTTACAGATAAAGCACTAAACATACTTTTTAAGTTTATTTGCCAATTGAGAAACGTATTGAAAAATAAAAATTTTGAGTTTGGTCATAACCTCAAGTGATATATTATATACGCATTAGTTTTGAGCGCGTGTTACCTGACATACAAAAAAATCTCCTTTTAATAATAACAGGAATTAAAAGGGCAGGGGCAGTGATACTTTTGAACTAAATCAAATTTCTTTTCTTCAAAGGCTTTGTCTCACATTCAGTAGGAAATATTCAGGAAATGGAAATACATGATTTCCATTCAAATCCAATATACCTGTTTTAATTTCTTGCAGTTTAGCCATGATTATATATATATTGGTGAATTTATGCATTAGTTATCCTTGAGAAGGCTGGGGAAATGAGATAAAGACATTCATGCAAAGAGTATCATCTGGAAAATTCATGTAAAACAAAATAATTCCTGCAACTCATGGAATGGTTAAAGATCAGAATTTATTGTTTTTAATTTCTCACACCATACTAGCCTAATTTATAGATATCGAAAACTGCATACAGTGAACAATAATACTATATACGGCTATTGGTTGCCTTAACCATTTGAACACTGCGCATTACTTCCAAACTAGACTATAAGACTGAGATTTATGTTAAAGCTTGATAATTATTTTCATCGTTCCTGATCGTATTCAACTGAGCATAAGTAGGATCATTTTCACTTCCTTCGCCATTACTGACAACATTCATGGTCAACGATTCACAATTCTCTGGTGCATTCATTTTAGTAATATCTAAATTTTGATAATTTGTGTTGTCTTCCGGTGTTTGTAGTTCAGGGTTTGATTGAGACTTTCTTGATCTAAAACGACGAAGAAAACACGCCAAAATGTGGGAAAAAAGAACTCCAACGACAAAACCCGACACCGAAAATACAACAATCCAAACTTTTCCAAAATCGTCTTTGAATGATTGATTAATTTCTGAATCTTAAATGAAATGAAAATCATAAAAGTATAACAAAGGGAGCACGCCAGAAATATTTGTGTAAATTTATACTAACCTTTTAATTACATGTAAATGTTTTCAATTTTCATCGGGCGCCATTTTGAATGTTGAAAGCGGTATATATTATTAGCTTATCGCAGGCGCAATAATTTATGTTGATCTTTGACATTAATTTATGTTACACGATGATACTCCGAAGGACGACCGAGAAAGATCCGAAATTTAAAATAAGGCGGAGAAATAATAAAAAATAAAGAGGGGAATGAAACGGCCGAACACGTGATGGGGTATTGGCCAATGACAATGCGTATATCCAATTTCGTTATCTGGCCATGCTCGTTGACCAAGAACTGTCGAATCTGAAATATATCAAAACTTGTATTGATTTGCATCGGTGCTCGCCAGCAGTGAATTTTCGACAGCAGAGAAACAAAAACTTCTCACACATCATTAGATATTCATAGCATTTCGGCCAATGACATGGTGTAATTTACATCACGTGTATCTATCTGGATACCCCGTCTAGGCTGGAATTTAATTACTTCAAGTGGGAAGGGATTTGAACAATAGGGAAATTGAGAAGTAAACAAAAGATTATGCAAATATATTTAATTGCTATGTTTAGAATTATTTCTAAATACAGTAAGCTGTATTTAGAAATAACTTCTAAATACACAAAAACATTAAAACACGCTTCAAACAACAAAATATGTTGCTTTTTTAATCACACTAACAATAACACACATACAATTGACTTAGTATTACTTTTTTCCGGCAAACGAAATGTTAAAGGAACAGTTAGTGAATGTACTGTTCGACAAAACAAACTTTTCTGCGATAGTACGTCGCTGCACCTCTTTATCAATTTTAGACCAGTCCACTTCACTAAAAAACTTATCAAGTTCCTCGTCGGAAATTTGAAACTTTTCGTCTTCCTTAGGCTTCGAGGGTGGCTTAAAACAGTTGTCAACAAGCGACACAACCTTTGATACAGATGGGCCAACACACTTGGATACAGCCATTGCTTGATCATTACTAGGTTTCTCATACGTAAATAAAACAGAAGAAACATGCCCAGTTCGTTCACGTATTAATTTTTCTTGATGGCCAGCACGAAACAAATTTGTTGCTGTTTAATTGTGACACGAAGGCAGTGTGCTGTCTTAATCTCAAGGCCAGCTTCTTTTATTAAAAAAGGCACGACAGAATTAAGCTTATGAATACCAATTGGTCCATTTTCGAATTTATACGCTGTTTTGCTCGGTCGAAAATAGAATGATTCATTAATTTTCGGTAACTCGCTGACCAAGGAAAAGTACTGCTTAAACATTTGAACCAGGCATGGTTCATGCACACTTTCCTTATCCTCGTGACAATAATGAGTCACAATTCTAGGTTTCTTCTTTAAATCTTTTAATCCTCCGTGAAACGTTTTCGAAATATTTTCTCGATAACAAATTTTGTTGTTTTCTATGACAAAGTTGCTTAATCTTAACTGTATGTGTTCACATGCTCTTAATCCGAATATTTTTCCGATATAGAAATAAATTGTGTAAACCAAACTTTGAGCAGTTTTGTCTCCCAGCAAGCCTTTTGACCACAGCAAACCTTCTTTATCATCTGTAATAGCTTCTTTCTCTCGTCTTGTACGATTCTCCGGAAGCGATTCGCCTTCCCGGTGGGTGGCTTTTCATTTCACTATCCAGTACTCTTCTGAACGTCTGGAAACTGAGTAATAAACATGATCATATTACAATAAATTAAACTAAATCATTAATTAAAAATGAACAAATTCAACCTACCAGTGATTGTTAGCATTTAACATGTTAGCTTCAGCCCGGCCATTTTCGTCTAGATGTCGTTTCAACGAGCATATAATTTGGTATACTGTACGCCCGGGATATGACTTGCCATCCTTGTCGTAAACTTCTTGAACAAATTTGGTAAGCCAGAAGTTTAACGTTCTTGCCGTCATTGAACACAATTCTGTCTCCAAATTTTGCAAATTTTGCAAATTTAGCTGAAAGGATTGCTCTCACACATGACTGCTTTATTTTCTCGCCCACTTTGCCAATATTCAAATATACGAACTCCCCAACGATTTTTATAACGCGTTGTTTGTGGAATAGCATTTCGCACGTTGTCAATGCTTCTTTCCACGCTTTGAGGATCCCGAAATCTCCTCTTTTTGCAACTAGATGCCATGCTTCCTTCGAAGGCGAACAAATACTACAACAACAACGTCTTTAATTCGTTCCTTCGTTACGCATTCGCTTATGTAATATTTTAAATCCTCGTTAGTGTTTTAAACTTGGCTTCCAAATCCCCAGTGCCATGAACAATGGCTCGGCTGCGCCTCGCCATTGTTCATTGCACTTGTATTTAGAAACCACGTCTAAAACACTAACTCGGATTTAAAATACTACATAAGCGAATGCTGGACACAAAATACAGTATTAATAATTCATGAAGGAAATTCAAAAGAAATGAATGTTTAATCAATGTATGTAAATCGATCGGATAATAGATTTGTAAATTGTCCTCATTTACATAAACTTTAGCTTCGATTTTCTCGGCTTAGACAATGTTTATTTTCAAAATTACTTCGCCAATGAACTCATATGATGGGTCGTCTTTTAAACACGTTTATTATATACATGACAAAATTACTGCAATCTGATTGGTTAAGAGGAGTGCAATTATTTCATTAATTACTTATCTTCTGTAATCAGTGGCAAATACTGCAAATTCATTGGTTTACAGGAGTGCGATTTGAGCATTAATCGCACCTTTTCTGAGCTGTAATCGCACTCTTGTCTACAGCCAATGAAAATCAGTCTAGTATTTACAACTAGCCAATCAGCATTCAGGATACAAACTTTGAATTTTATTTTCTTTATTGCTGTAAAAAATTTCAAAATGGAGGAATTCACAAATTTTGACCTTTTAATTTTAAATCAGCCCTCGAAAACCGTCAAAATTGAGGTCGGAAAAAAAATGCCGACCTAAACCTGACCTAGCTCGGTACATCTCGGCATTTTTTAAAATCTGTTTCCATGTCTTGGAGCACTAGTAGCCTGCACTAGTAATCACGTATTTACGAATCATTGAAAAGTATAAATGTCACGAAGCCTTTTCTTTTAGAGTTTTACCTAAATTATATCATAAATATACCCGTTAATTCTTAAATCTTACACCAAAGTACATCGAATTCTATAATCGCTGACTTTTTAACAGCTATAAGCACCAAAAAAGATTATTACTTTGGCTGAATTAAGGTCGGCAAAACATTGCCGACATGGGAGGTTGATAGGTCGGCATTTACTGTAGGTCGGATCTGCCGAATGCAGATCTCGTTTTCGAGGGTTGTTAAATTATATATTTTCTGACGAAAATGACCTACCTGTTCATCCAGCAGAAGACACCGAACTAAACACAACCAGGAGTTATATTTCCATCCAATTCAGATGATTAATTGAATTAAAAACTTCACTATTTTGAACACGTTATAAACATACAAACATGGCTTCCCAATTGTGTGTTGAATAATTCAAACAAATGTTGTCATGTGATTATACCGGAAATAATGCCCGGAAGTCGTTAATAATATGTTAATTTTATTATATATGATAAACAATAATTCATAATTGTACTATTTCACTAAGAATTGTCGTGACAAAAATTTAATAATTATATTGAACTTCAACAAATTGTATATTTCTGCTTTTCCCCCTTAAACAGTTTGATTACAGAAGATAAATAATTAATAAGTAATAGAACGAATTAAAGTCGTGCTATTAATGCCATAATCATACTCGTGATTAACAAATCAACCTCCCGCTACGCGGTCGGTTGATTTTGTAATCACTCGTATGATTATGGCATTAATAGCACTCCTATTCGTTCTATTACCATCATTAATTGCGCTCTCCAGGAGTGCAATTAATGAATTTCGTGATGGCTGGGGGGAGCGGGAAATCAAAACAACAAAATCCAATATGGCGGCGAAATTTAGCTCATTATTTCTAACAAATGTGGACGAATTTAACTGAATTTTGGCACAATAATGAGTTTAAGAAACATTGTATGGCAAAAAGAGCCTGTGGAAAATACCTGGAAACATTTTTAAGGAATAATCTTGGCGGATTACAGCGAAACGTGACTATGTAAGTTTGAAATACAATTTATAAAGATTTTCTTAGTCTAAAATATGTTGCTTGAATTTGAATCTTTCGTTCTAGTTTAAGTTATGTGCCTTTGTGAGTTTATAATCATTTCCCAAGTTTGTTTATACTAAATTGCTTACAAAGGAATTAAAAACTCTTGACAAAATGCAGTTGAAATATACTGTGCTATTTTGAGGTCTTTGAAAAACTAACTCGTGCATGTTATATCCAAATTGCACTCGAAACCATGCTATTACCTATACATAAAACACGAGCAGCCGATGTTTATCTGATATACAAACTCTTGCCATTGTCCCCAATTTTAATAATATATTCTAATGTGACTCGCTTGAACTAATTATAGTAGGTCAAATATAAAACAATGGTAAATCGGAAAATAATAAAAAAAAAAAATTTCAGAATTACCGTTGTTCTATATTATATTAAAATACTCAGTGGTTCCCGTAATAGTAGGTCTCATTTAGTTTCGGGTTTGTTCCTAGCAACATCAAAAGTTCCTAGCAACAGTCAACCAGCATCAGTGTATAATAGTTCGGCCGTTTCACTCCCCTCTTTATTTTTTATTATTTCTCCGCCGTATTTTGAATTTCGGATCTTTCTCGGTCGCTCTTCGGAGTATCATCGTGTAACATAAATTAATGTCAAAGATGAACATAAATTATTGCGCCTGCGATAAGCTAGTAATATATACCGCTTTCAACATTCAAAATGGCGCCCGATGAAAAATTATTGAAAATTGAAAACATTTACATGTAATTAAAGGTTAGTATAAACTTACACAAATATTTCTGGCGTGCTCCCTTGGTATAACCGAAAATAATTTCTCGATAATAATGAGACATCTTAATAAGCAATAAAAACAACGACATCTTACCTACGACGGTTAAATTATCTATCTTTGAACTGCTTCCATGTTTATTCTCCGCAATACATTGATATGATCCAGCATGACTTTTATTCACAACGTCTATGATGAACATTCTATCGTTGCTGATGGTCTCAATATTATTATGGACTATGATGTATCTTGGTTCAGGAACAGCTTTAGCAGTACAAATCATAGCCACTGATTTACCAAGTTCTACAGTTCTTGAAAAAATCCTAAATTTAGGTTTCTCAGGAGGATCTTGTAAAAGAAAATGTTAGTTTTGTTAAAATTCCAGTTGCCCTGGGAATGTAGAATTTTTAAGCTCCACTGTGATCGACGGGAACGTAGCCTATTGCTGTCAGATTATTTTAGCCATATATTAAAATTTTCATTTGTACTCGATTACAAAATTGTGGGCATCCCCTCCCCTCCCCTCCGCCCGCAGTGCCACCTCCCCGAATTAATGCCAATAATTTTCCCTGATAACCCAGTGAAAATGTTAGTTTCACCTCGAATTATAATAATTGTTTGTGTGTTACAACTGTATCGTGTTTTCGTATCAACATGACAAATTGAAAAGTAGAAAATTATTTATAGGGGAAGTATAAGGAAATATAGCAAGATAACTAGTTGTTGGCGAATAAAAACGATCGAACTAGTGCGCTCTCTAGTTTTGATAAATTTTATAAAGACACGAATTCCAGTTTTACTTACATTCAACAATTAGTTCAACTGAAGTTTCGTTCTGAACTTCGACATATTTTTGAACACGACATGTGTAGTTTCCACTGTTTCTTTCATTAACATAATTAAGAATTAGTTCGTTTTGCTGTGATTCTGTTTTGCCTATCTGGGCGCCATCTTTGAACCACGTGACATTGACAAGACCAGGAATATTGACACCTTGACCTCGGCAGAGACACGTGACATTCTCACCTCCATTCACTACAATAGCACTGGAACAGACAGACACGGTCGGTTTTCCTGAAATGTATTGTTATTCAAATGTATTGAATCGAAAAGTTTATCGAAACATCGCTATTCTTTAACACAATCGTCAGTCTTAGGTACAAACATTGCGTTTTATGTTAATTATGAGTTCAGCAACACTGCAGAGAAAAACTCTTATCTCTATTGAAATTTCTTGAAGTATAAAACGTTTATCAAATTTGCATGAGCTCGCGACAGTCCTGGGCGATGGAACTAATTCGGGCTCATCCTCGTTCCAAGGGCTTCTCGGCCGCGCGAGATCTTCATAGGCCTGGCCTTGCATAAACGATAATGGAAGTGCACAACAACTTGCAGTAGTTTCTAAAGGGCATACCCTTGAATGGGACGCTTCAGCACCCGTAAAAATTTCCACGGAGAAGTACCATGAAGAAACGAAGTATATATGTGGGGACATATTTTGATAAAATAATGCCTGGGAAATAGCAGTTCTCTAAGAAGCCGATCAGATCTTTGATTCCTTTAGTCGTTCGACACAGAGCCTAATTTTCAACAAGTACAAATAGCTCTGGTCATGGGACGAGAATCATTCCTGCTTGCGTATTTATTTAGCACTCGAGAAAAGGACAACGTACAATCATACACATTATAAAATAATAGATTGACCATTGCAGGATAAGTTTAACCAATCTTTAGTAGACAAATTGAAGCTTCCTAATGGGGGCTCAACTTAAGTAAAATTTATTTTCAAAACTACAAGCTAGCAAACTATCATAATTTAACGCATAATCCAATTGGCTTAGCTAATTGTCAAGATCGATTGGGTGCCATGGTTCATGCTGTATGGTTGGTCATCTCATTGATCTTAAAATATTGCTGCTTGCCTGGAAAGGGATGAGCAAGATTTTCATTTTCAAATGCAGTTGTTCTGTGTGTTTTTAGTTCAGCGCTTTGACCAAGAATTGTGGAATCTCGGTCGCTGGAACTGAATGTAGATTATTTTTTTAGATACATTTTCGAACCTAACGTTAATTTGCAACTAGTTTGTGTAGTAAGTGGTCAGAGCGCTGCACCTGACTATCAATCGATTCTTGTTGGAGAACCTAGTAGGAGGGTCTATGTTATGTGTAAATGTAGGCTACAGCATTTTGTTCAGAAATAGCCATGGCTCATAATTAGGGCCACAACAATTTAATTGTTTTAGATATTTGTTACATTTATTTGTTTAAAAGAAAAAGCTTACCCGCGACAAAAACAGTAACATCAGATGTAAAAGAGCCAGATGGGGTAAGTAAATAGAATCTATATGTTCCATTGTAACGGAAGTCGACGTTCTTTAAGACCAACATTCCTGGCTTTATGATCTCAACCCCAGGCAGCCTGCTTCTTGCTACTATTGTAGTATTTTGATTACGGAATATATAAGCGAGGTTTTTCGTCCCGTTACTGGTCCTGAATTTCCAATGCCGGACAAACACTGTAGATATTGGATCATCAAATGTCCATGCTATTATCACATCTGATCCATTTACGACAACCATGGTATCTCCACCTGGCGGAAGGAAGATTTTTCCTATGATTGCCAAGGAATGACAAAATGTTAGTAAATTTCTCTTTAAAGACCACGTGACGTTAATCCTCGAAAAACACAAACCAAGTCAAACATTTCGCAACATGGCTTGCGGCAAGCCAAGCGGCAGGTTGAAAGGAAGTGCTTGTGAAAAAAACATATTGATTATATCTAAACCATTATTTTTTTTAATTTTTAAATTTTAATGGCAACTCATTCAGCAAGGATTGTCTAAATATATGATTAAATACGACAATAGTTGAAATTGTGAAGCTCTTGAGATGTACTGCAAAGAGTATGTTGCAGTTTATTTAAATCTGAGAGAATCAATACTTTCAATAAATCTACTTCAAACAATCTAATCAAACTGAAACAGTTCTAAGTGCAGAAACTTTAAGCTACGGTAGAAATTCGCATTGTTTTCAAATGTGACGAAATACCCTACCTTCACATGGAAATTTCAAAAAATGGAGGGAGAATAATATCAAAATTATGCAAATGAAAAAAGACATCCTGTTGCAAGGCATCAAAATCTACATAGAAAGAGAGGAATATTAGATTTGAGGAACATACTGCGGATTAGCAATATCGTACAGAAAGTGACAGAAATTATAACACTCCGTCCATTTGTTTATGATAAGATTTGGCGTTTAATAAGGACGGGTTCAGGTTGAATAATAATCAGGAAGGTATAGATCTCAAACAGAAGGTGCTATGGGTCCGACGTACATGGAAACGCTCACGTGCTTTTCCGATAATCCAAGTTTCGTTGTTTACAAGAGAGAATGCACTAGCTGGGTCTTGCCTAGACGTTTTCTACATTTAGGGCACGTGGCGATTGAGATTTTCAAGATTTTCGAAAAAAAGTTTAAAAAGTTTTAAAAAAAGTTTAGAAACGCAAAAAAAGTTTAAAAAGTTAGATTTTCAAAAGAGTTTAAAATGTTAGATTAGGTATAACGTTAGTGGTTAGGGGTTAGGGGTTAGTGTTAGGGGTTAGGTGCCGCGTCGAATTGATCATATTAATTAATTCGGAAGTGTTTAAAAATTTACTCATATAGTAAATTCAAAGGTGGAGCTCATGCTGTTAATTAAGTTTAGCATTTTAACGGAGATTGAAAAAATCCGCACCATCTGTAGACTTGCTCAAGTTTCTCTTTCATTGTCATATAGTATCGATACACAATAGTGTACATTACATGACGTAGGGCAAAGAGGCGGAACGAGAAAGAGAGATTTGTAAAATCGGAAAAACTTGGTTCAAAACTGAAACGAAAACGCAAGACTTGCTTTAATTGTTTTCATTCAATTTCTTTCTGTATTACCATCTATTATAATAGAACTCATGTTTTTTTAAACTGTGCTAGATCAATACATATAAACACTGGCAGAAAACAATTAAAGCAAGTCTTGGATTTTCGGTTCAGTTTTGAACCGAGTTTTTCCGATTTTACAAGTCTCTCTTTCTCGCTCCGCCCTCCGTACTACGTCATGCAATGTACACTATAGTGGATCAATACTATATGACAATGAATTGGAGACTTGGAGCAAGTCTACACCATATGTGGAGAGCGCTATCCGGCTGACAACCAGCCGAATGCGCACGCCAACTGAACGCCGTTAGTGCTCCGAGTGTTGTTGAACTAAATATCTTCTGAGCTGAAATCTATCTTCAATTACGATAACCCTTATGCTTGCCTGCTGAAACCAATCTTTGCACTTTATTTATTTATAATCAATCAAATGTAAATATTTTTATGTTTCTTATAGCCATTGTAGTTTATCACATGCAGGTGTTATTGATGTTTCTTAGTCGTTGTAGGTTTAATTTACTATTTTATTTAATACTGTTTAATAGATAATTTTATAATTGTACTATTTCCAAAACTAAAAGCTCATTGTCATAGCCAGTTAAAGCGCGTAATTCTGTAGGTTTCGACACTGCAAAACGTTTTATTAAACTTGCTATTATTATTATCATTGTTATTAGTAAATCAAAAATTTTATATCTACAGTATTATACAAAAAATGACATTTTGAAATAAGAATTAGCCGACAAATAACTAATTACACTTAAGGACAAAAACAGTTTACATTTACACTTTTAGTATTGAGATACTACAGCATCCTATACATGTCTGGAGATATTTGTTGCTGATGTTAAAAACCTTTCCTTGTAAAATCCTTAATGTTGCATGCATGTCAGCAGATATAACATATTCTCATTTTTTGTTTGCCGAGTGATTTTGAAATTCAGCATGCCGAGAGAATAAAGGCGTGTTCAACACCACTGCTGTTGGCGTGCAACCGGATTTCTAGAAGAGATAAGTTAACTTGTCCTCATTGCAGAGGGTATGGTAGTTGTCAATAATTGTCTATAATCAACGCTGTTACATGCTTATTAGCAGCGTATTATATATGTATTTAAAATATACTCATTAATAATTCATAAACCTTGTGGCAAATCATGTCAGCCATAATATGTCACGTGGAGTCACTTATATCTGATAAAACATATGTGGCATTATATAATTGTTCATCCTAATTAGCATGATTATATATAATGGTTCATCCTAATTAATATTCTTTTGTAGTCGTATTTTAAGCTATTCAAAACACTTGTTATCGTGTTTTATCAGGTATAAAACGTTCGGCTGCGCCTCGCGTTTTATATCTGATAAAACACTCCTACTCGTGTTTTAAATAGTACTTAACGCTGAATATCCTAAGAGAGCAACTGGCTTCCACAAAACATTTTATTTTCTTCGAACATGTTCTGCTTCGAGGATTGTTCAAACTCTGCTAATCGGGGTTGAGAACTTTCTAGCACTATTATGAAGAACACCATGCAGCAAGTGTATAGTGCATGGACTATAGCACACAAGCTATACTGATTTACAAATTGCCGTGTGGGAGTCCGTTTCATATGAAATTTATGGGATCTCGATTTCTTTTTCGAATTGACTAAGAAAGCATATCATATTGCTCGCACCTTTAGAGGTAACTCATTCTACAACACTGTCCCGTTGTAATTAAAACTTCGTTGGCCGTTTTGGCACTAAATTTTGTTCTCATGGATTACACGCAATCAAAATCTCCTGAAAACTGCTCACACAAGTTTTCTCAATTTTGCTTGTAGTTTTGAACAAAATATTCTGTCACAATGTTTGTTAATATTCCAAGCAGAATTGTTGAAATTCAACAATAATTTGTAGTTACTTACCTCTATTTTGTCTAACTCTTTAGTTCTCTCTCTTGTTTTAAGTACGATGTATTTAGCTATAATTTTAAAGAGTTTTTTTTTCCGTTTAAATGTTGAGATTTTGGCCGAGTTTGTTTTTCTCCTTTCTCGTGCCTTTCTAATCGAGTTTTTCGATTAAATTTTAATCTAAACTATTGTCTATGTATACTGGCTAGATGATGGTGTGTATTTTATTCCGGTTTTTAACGTGATTTCATTTAGTAACAATTCGGGAAGCCATTTTGTGTTCGAAATTTTGGACTTTTTAAGCCCTGTTTCCTTCTTTTAATTGGCCAAATTTTGTTTGTATTACGGCCCCTTACCATTATACTGTTTTATGACATGCTTTTTAATTTTTTTGTAACTCACAAGTTATATTTTTCTAGTCATTTTTTGGAGTTCGCCACACTGAGTAGTTATCAACAAGACCGAGAAAAATGCACTACTGTTAATATATTTTATGTTCCCCTCAACATTGAAGTCGAGAACAAATCAGTAAGCCATAGCTAAGCATCAGCAAGCCAATATATTGTGACAAGAGTCAAGCACATGGATAATATATTTCACTTTTTTTCTAATTAAATTCGCCTAAATACATTACATGAGATAATATTATCTCATAAATTAACAATTAGACAACGAAGCCGAGTTGCATCTATGATCGAATAGTCAACGAGACGAAGCCGAGGTGACTATTTGCTCAGAGATAACAAGGCTGAGTTGTCTGACAACAAGGCTGAGTAATTGTTTTAGTATAATCCACATAAAGAAAACGGAATTTTCCACTTGATTTTTATGTAAAATAATAACTTTTTAACGATATGAGCGTTTAAATGGCATCCTTTGGCGACATTACGCCACAAGAGAGCTGGCCTTGGTCAGCACATTTTAAACCAACTTCTTCACTGCACTGCTTTGTTTTACCGGAAGTTTTACCAGCAATGCAGATTATACACCAAGTACCATGTGATAACCTGTTACATTTTACATCGATAAATAAAATCCTGGGCCTGGCACATTCTAAAACCAGCTGTCGGAAAACAGACAAAAACAGCTGAACATTAAATGAAGCTAGAAGAGTGAAGAAAACATACGATACTAACAGGACTGGGAAGTCACACGCAAAAGAAATGTCTCTTCGAATATTAATTTGCAATTTTCATAGTCGCGCATTATGTCGCTTCTAAATTAAGTTAACTAAAGTTGTTGCTGCTAATGTTACTTACTACTGAGATAGCAGGTGTAAATGTTGAATTGTATCCTGAATCTTTAACCACATTCCTGAGAGAGATTACCCTTTGTACTAATTTCTATATTTCCCGGTGTGATATTTGTATCGAGTATAAGTCTTCCGGTGTTAAAACAAACATGCCTTACTTCACGATCTCGTGCTGCAGTGTTGCGTGCCGTTGTGAACGTATTGAAAAGGATATTTCGAAATCAAACCATCTATTTGATAGAAATGACAATCGAGGTTGAAAATTTGGTGCTTGCCTTTGTTAAGAAAGGGACAACATATGCAGGCAAGATATGCAAAATTTATTATTGATGATACGAGAGACACTGATCAGTTTTTTTCACGACGACCCTGCGAATATATTTTAATCACATTCATACGGTTTCAATTGTTTGTCTGTCGGCATAGACCATATTTACATTTTTCTTACCTTGCTGTGAAAATACGAACGGACGGATACCAGGCTAAAAAAATGTGGATATGAGGGGATTTTAGCGATTGAACAATAGTGTCGAGAATACAGCGTAGTT